AGAAAAAAAAAACTAGTATCCAAATACAGTGAAATGTAAAGCTTTTTCCAATTTTCAAGACAGGGCTGCAAGTAGTTGTGACAGGGAAGGAGGATGACACGGTTGTTCCCTCTTTATGGTGACATCCTATAGGACAAAGAGCACATACCTCATGAGGCAACATGAATGGGTGTACATGCATCCCTTTGTGGCATCCTCAGGGTAAATCCAGAACTTCCCTAGCCTGGATACAGGAGTTCAGCTGCTCTGTCTGGGCAAGCTTACATCATATGGCTCCCTTGAGTAGGAGCAAAGAGCAAAGAGCATTCCCTTTAGACTCTTGTTCATATACATGTGATGTAGATATAGTAAAGTACATTATTCTGGCCTTATTTCTGAACTATCACCTCTTTTGGCTTTTTGTATGCCCTTTCTTTCAGAATATCTCTAAATATCAGAAGGAATGTGGAAGCTACTTTGCTCACAAATGATGGATGTCCTGGCATCTTCTTTGACACTCCTCTCTCAAAGTCAGGACCAAAATGTAAGGCCCTCCACTGCCCCTCACTATGCCTGTGGAGATGGAGCTGACCTATGGTTTGTGCAGCCATCTGCAGCCCACAAGCAATTACCACTTGACCTGCTGTGTGGGGTCAAGTGTGATAAGCGGCCAGGCTGCAGGGTGGCCTGAGCTGTCAGCCATGTGAAGCTCTGAGCCAGTGGGGGCTTTGCATGTTGGCATTTCTGGGTTTCCCTGGGATTTGAGCACTGGCCCAGCGCTATCCTCCCACAGCCACGATCATCGTCTCCTCCTGCATCTTTGACAGGGGTGTGATAAGTATTTTCCAAGCAGAAAAAACAGCATTGCACAGCAGTAATGATGTGAGTGCAAAAAATTCAGGGGTAGGGGAGACCACCAGTGCACAAACACCCTTTCTCTGTGTCTGCCCTTCCTGTCCTCCTGACTCTCATCCAACTGGTGTGTGCTGTGTTGCTGGGCAGGCTGCCTGGAGGGAAGGGTTATCTCTGTCCCTGGTGCTTCCCCCTTGTCTCAGCAAAGGTCATGGGTGGATGTTGGCATGAATGGCAACACAGGGGTAGTGTGTGGGCCCAGATGAAGAACAAGTCCTGCTGCTGTTTCCTGATCAAGTAAGAAGAAAAGTCTAAATTCAATACTGATGAGTGCAATGATGTTCATTGCAAAGAGAGAGGCGGTGTGAATCTGAGCATGAAACTACATATGCAGTTGATTGCAATGTGATTGACGAAGTGAATTTAAAGATGGCATTAATAGTGAAGCTTAGAATGAAAGTTTCACTGTATTTTACCATATGTCCCTGTTCTGGGTCATTTGCAATATTGCTGCAGTTCTGTCATCTGGACTGTATATTCCATGCCTATATCTACTTCAGTTTTGTGGGAAAAGTTAAACTGAAACAGATCATCTGTTTCTTACTAATCTCTCATCAACTGGATTTATCAGTTCTGTAGTCTGCCTCAGGATCAGAAATTAGGTGAGAGGTGTCATGTTAGTGTCATGAATGTGATTTTAGCAGTCATCAAGAAAATTTTCTCATATATGTAAAAACTCTTGATTATTGAAAGATGTATTTTACATGTTCAGCAGGGGACCTGTCAGATTTTTGAGGCAACAAAAGGTTAGATATACAGAAAGGGAAAATATTTTTGTTCTTTCCTTGCAACTTTTTCAAATAAAGACTGTTGCTGATTTGGAAGCAGTGCAGCAATGGCTGGGTTTAGTAAGGAAGAAATAGCTACCATCATCACCTTTCCTCACCCCCAAATCTGTGCCTGGTGGTATGGGAACAACTTAGTGAAATAAAAGCAAGACTGAAGGAGGCAACCACAGAACATACCAGGACTGATGAGACTGGCAGTATCAGTAGGATAATGACAGGTAATGATAGCGATGAACACTGGGAAGACACGTCTCACTGCTACTTACTGCCTCCAAATGACCACAGAAGTGTCATGGGTTTCTGTGTTTTGAGAGAAAGTAGGTTAGCACACAGAAACCTGTGATGGTGGTTTAATCTTCCAGTCTGATGCAATGAACAGGTGCTTGGTTAAATTGTATAGATTTTCCACCTCTACTGAGAGTCTCCAGCCTCTATAGACCATGAGTTTACACATAAACCATCCCCATAGTTTGACTCTAAATACTCTGTGCAGCCTCGAATCAGCCAGCATTTTCCCTACAATTTGTTTCTCCCGTCTTGCAAACACATGAAGCCAAATCCTGAAACAAACAGCTGGGAGGGTCACTCTCCTGTGCTTTCAGTGTTACGTGTACACGCTGAGAATGAGGAGGAAACTGCAGGGATAAAATGCAGTTGGTACATGGTATTAAAGAAGAGAGGCAACAGGTATGTGGGTAGAAACTCACACAGTAATAGGAATTACAAGTATGTGACTCTAGTTTTAGAATGACAAGGGCAAAAATGAGGAAGGCGGAATGGAGTGGGAGTGATTTTCCCAGAAGGCTGTGTAATTATTCAGGAGGAATGATGCCGTAAGAATAAATCATAACTATGTAGGAAGTTTTTATCTGCAGGATCCTTGTCTCCCTGCTCGCTGAAGTTGGAAGGTATAAAGCAACAATTACATAATTAAAGATGTGACCATGATTGTGTAAAATGGAACCAACTTAAAGTTGCAAGGCCAACTTAAAGTTGAATTGAATATTTGAATGTATAAGAAAACTTCAACAACTGAAGGCTATTTGAAGAAAAAGAAGGACCTATTTAAAGAAAAAAAAGTTGGTTTCATGCAGGTAATTACTAAAATGGCAGCAGAATCAAACAAAATCAAGAATGAAAAAAACCCCAAAACATCAACAAGTATATAAATTGCATTAATTTTAAAAGTCACCCTAACAACAAACAAAACTTGTACTTGTAATGGAAACTATATTTCTACAGACTTAAGTCAATGGAAACTAAAAAAAGTATATTGGATGAGTATAACTTTTTATCTTAGGACAAGGATTTGTTATAGGTTAACATTTTCACAGGCACATAACTGGCTTGGTTTTCAGAGATGGCCATTCACTTAGTGTCTTGAATATGAACATTTGATGGAATTCATGTTGCCTAATTTAAACACCTAATCACAGACATATTAAATTTAAGCTAGTTGTCTTAAACTGGCTCTACAGTCTGAAGAGACATGGCATCTTCAGAGAGAAAGTAATTCCTTCTGTCTTGGATGCCAATATTACTGTGAAATATCTTGTCCTCGAAAGATTCCTTTTCTTCTCCACTGCTTATAAAAGGAGCTTAAGGTAACTAAGACTTGAATGATCTACTTTCAGGTGATTAAAGACCTGAAATAAATCCTGTAGGTCTTGTTATCTAACATAAGGCATCCACAATTGAAAAGTGTAGCCATAATAGCTGCTCGTAAGGCCATATCCAAACAGGCTATTGCAACTCGTGCTCGGTATACTCCAAGAGTTAGCTCTCGAAAAGGCTGGGCCAGGCAGTGCAGAGACAGACATACTGAGCCAAGGTGTGGATCATGTTGGCAGTAAGCAAAGATTCAAACCCCACTCTTGGAGGGTGGCATGCTAGAAGGGCTCTGTGGCCACTATTTCCCATGGTCTGCCAATGATGACATCTTTCCTCTCGGTTCACCCGTATGTCAACGTTGGCTTGAATGAGTCACTTTGTCTTCAGGGTCTTTTTGGGTTTTGTCTATAAACATAAGTTTCTTTGATTGCAACATTTCCCTTTCCGGCCTCTGAACATCTTGTTTAATTGCCCTTTTCAAATTCTTAAGCTGTCCAACTCAGACTCTGAAAGGCCTAGATTGAATTCAGAAGAAGGAGATGAGAAACAAGGAATGTGCCAACAGGATTTTTCAACTTTCTTCCAAAAAGCCTTCTTACTTTCTTTGCTTGAGACCATGTACAGCTGTCTGGGTTGGTACCCTCTCTTTTCTCCTTCCTTCCTCATCTCTGTTCTTGGCACTAGAATCAACCAGTTTCTGACAAGGTGGCTACATTAATAAGCAGTGGTGTGTTGGCAGGCATGCAGGAAGAGCCGGTTAGACAAGAGAGGGGATAAGAATGTAGCCAGTGCCTGGGAGTGTCTGTGAAAAGGATTCCTGCTTTCCTGATACCTATTTGCTTCTGGGCTATTTACTTGTGCTCTGCTCCAATGAACAGGGTGACAAGTGAGCGTCCTTGCCCTTCTCCTAGGAGCATCAGCACATGCAGCAGGGCCAGGAGGAAGCTGTGGTGAATAGGTTCATGTGGCTGTAACTGGGAGAGATGCCACCATTCAGAAGCATGATCTCAGGGTTTTCCTCTGGAATACATCTTGGTGTCTTCCAGTCTGCTTTCTGCTCCTTGCCTAGAAACTGGGATCTGCAGCCAACTTCTGACCTCATTTGTGAGCTGGAAACAGCCATGATCCCCACTGTTGGGCTCATGATCCCAAACAGTATGACAAAGTAGCAGTTTTCTGTTGGATGCAGAAAGGGGGTTGTGACCCCTACCTTAGGAATTGCATCAGTTTGGAAGTTTCTTTTCAGTTGTTTTTAGTTATTTTATGGGAATCTAGAAAAGATCTTCTCCTCTTCCCTGTAGTTCTGTGGAAAACAAAACCTCTTTTAGAACACTGAGCAGAAAAGACCAATGGAAGGTAAAGCTGAAAGCTGGTGGGTGTTTAGGCCACAGTGCTGATCGGTCATTTCCTCTTACAAAAATTCACCTTTGGTTGTTGCACTACTCCTTGGATATGGCTGACCACCTTGATCATTTCACTATTTTACTTTGTAATTACAGATTCCTTTCAGCTCATTTATTAAAATAACTGTATGTCCAAGTAGGCCATCTTTTATGCAATGTCAAAACAAATAGATAGAATTAATTATGAGTCTTTAAATATATGTATGTGAATTGCCATAGGTTTTGAAACATGAAACTGCAACACTTTAAAATTATATTGCTGAATGAGATGACTCATCATGCCTGGGAAAAAAAAGATCCTGTGATTTTATTGTATTTTCCTGTCATTAAGAAAATATTATACTTCAAGCAGATGAAGGATTGCAAAATTTGCAGACTCATTATTACTGGATAGTGGTAGCAAAGAGAAGTGCATTACATTTGCCTTCAGATATGTGAGTGTGTTTTATCATCCACATTTTTGTTTCTTTAAAAAAAAAAGGTATCCATTTAGAGGACAAAGCAGAGCTCTGGTTTGCAGAAGACAAGCCTGGACACACCAGTGTCTTCAATCCACTGCTTCCATGTCTGCGTCCCCTCTTTGCTCAGCGAACTGACCTTGGACAGATCTATCTGCTGGGTCATCCACACATTCTGTAGCTTTTGGTGGACATTCCATGGGTACTGACATATTCCCAAGGGGAGGGGGCATGTTTTGTGTGGGTGTTGGCATGTTTTCGGGGCTTGCTGGCATGCTTTCAATGGGTTTTGGCATATTCCCAGTGGATACTGGCACACTCTTGGGAGGTATTGGCACACTTTCTGTGGGCATTGGCACCCTTCCTGGAAGTGCGGGCATGCTTTTGGTGGGCTTTGGCATGTTCCCAGTGGGTGTTGTCATACTTTCAGTGGGTGCTGGCACGTGCTCAGTGGATATTGGTGTGCTTGTGCTGGGCTGCTCACAGTGTTTCCCAGACTCTGACTGTGGGGTGAGAGGAGTGGGGAGTTCTGGCTCCGGGGCAGCATTACACGTTTGAGTGTCACAGGTCTCTGGATTGCTGCTGTTGCTTGGGAGGGACTCCTCTGCCTTGTGGGACACACTGAAACCTTCAGCCAGCTCCTTCAGCATTCTCTTGTCACTTGCATGCAGCTCAGTGCTCGCCTGCTCAGAGGGGGAAGGGCTTGTGTCAGCATCTTCTTCTTCTTCTTCTTCTTCTTCTTCTTCTAAGATGCCATTTCCATTCACCTCTTCTGGATATTGTGCTTGCTTTATTTTTTTGTACAATTCATTCCTCTCTTCCTGCAGAGCACGGCAAAGGTTCTCTAGTCTCTGGATTTTCAACACAAAGCACTCGTATTCCTTGGACCTCATGGCTTTCTGTAGTCAAAGACATCAGACAAGGGTTCATTAGTAGAACTGGCAATTAGGAAACAATTTGAGACCTAAGCAGCCTTCACAGGATGCTGCCAGGTGGCTGGCTTTCACCAACTGCTCTACAATAACTATGGTCTTTTGGATCAAAGATTCAAGAGGAAATTCATCCCTGTTACTACAATGTATTAGCATTCTCCATACATATTCAGATCAATTTCACTCAAAAATATTTGCAGGAATACCTGTTGATGATCTGTAGAGGTGGAAAAACTGGATGTCTATACAGATAAGCATCCAAAAGTCTACCTGGACTTTTGGTTGGTGTGGGTGTGAATTTTGGAGGAAAACAAGCTGCATTCTACTTTTTGTTTGTTTTGCTTCTGGGTCCTGTGAGAGCAGCCTGAATTGGAACATTTTCTGCTTTTACACCCAGTGAGGAAACAAGAGATACATAAACCCATAAAAATAGAAACAGCAAAAGCACAGAGCTACAAAGCTAACCAGAAAGACCTGGTCCAAGTTCAGCATATGTTTGGGGTGAAACTTCAGGCAGTCTCTTATCTTATTTGAATGAGTTCCAATGTGCTTATGAACTTCCTTTGCAATGCCCCTGGGACAACATGTTTAAAACCATGGTGAGACTCAGTACTTGCTTTGTACTCTTGGAGTTTGCCTAAACAGGAAGTTAATGAAAGGTGTGAATTTAAAGTTCATTATCTAGAACACATTAATTATCTGGATGGATGCTCTTATGCAGAAGGAAAGTAGTATGAAGTCAACTAATGCCAGTTGGCCTTTCTGGGAGAGCATTAACAATTACCCATTTTTAGAGCACTTAAAATTCACAGTTATATAATTCAGTTTCTCATGGATGTAGTGAATGTCTGCACAATCTAAAAGCCCTAGCAGCTGGGATTGTCTTTTTCTCAAAAGACATCTAATTATCAAGGTAGCTTTAAAAAAAGACCCTTAGATTCAAAAATAAAATTTTCACTGACTTTTGGCGGTGTCAGGTTATCCTATCTCCTAGTTAAAGCTTTATGTGGGGGAAAAGACGCATCTTAAGACCAGAAAGACTGCTCACCTCTTCAATCATGTCCAGTAATGCTCTGTTACAGTTCTCAAACCTGGATTTCCATGTAGCAGTATCCTTTTCCAACTTCTTCATTTTCTTTGTCATCTATAGAAGCAGGAAGAAAAGCTGAATCACAACAGAAATTTCATGCTGCAGATGAAAATAGGGCAGCCCCTTTATTCGAGTCTTTGGCTGTACTCATAACTCTGCTACCAGCAGCTGTAGTGTCCATGCTAGGTAATAATTTATGTTAAGGGATGGATTTCATTTTAAGTAGCTGCCATATAACTTTCAGCCTCTAGTCTGTAGTCCTAAAATAGGACCAATTGATTATAGCTATCTTCCAGCATACAAACTATCACAAAAACAAAAGGCAAAGAAGTGGAGGAATCATTTGTCTCTTTACCAGACCAGTGTTAGATTGCTAGGAAGGTAAAGAAGGACTGGCATCTTCTGAGCCATCAATGCCAAGGGCATTCCCCCTGGATTAGTCACCTCTATACTACCTCCAAAACACACCACTAGCTAAATAGCCCCATTTTCCCCTTTGGTTTTCTGACTGAACTCTCTGTGAAGAATCATTAGAGACTGCTTGGATCAGGGCATGAGGATTTTGAGCCCTGGTGGCAGAGTGTTTATTATGAAAGCAGGTATAGCATGTTGGTGTGTTTCACTACAGGAATTCATAACCCCAGCTACAAGGAAACAGTCTGCGTGGGCTGTTTCCACACAGTGAAAAGGTGTTGGTGGGCTTCAGCTCTGCCTAGGCACTCCAGTGGAAAGATGTGTAGCCTATGTCAAGCTCTCTGTACCAGTGTCAGTCACCCAGAAGCTTCTGAGCACTCCTGGAGACATGGTCTGACAAACATGGCTCCAAACTGCCCCTCTGGTATCTCTTAGGGATCTGTACCCAACTACCATATTAGATTTTAGGTAAAGTGTTTATTCTTACAGGAAATCTTGGCTTTAGCTGAAAGGGAAAATTAAATGTTCAGCTTGCAGAGCTGAAATCTAAGCTGCTGTCAGTTGTGGCTGAGTGTGTCCCAAATCTTATTTGAATGTTGATGAGATTTTTCTTCAAAATGTGAAGAAATAGTCCCATCTCAGGTACAATTATTACAGTGAGAAATATAAAGGGAAAGTATCAATTACAAATTTCAGGCATGAGTTACTACTCACTTTTTCCATCTCTTGTTTGAATGTGGCAAACACTTCATTGCTTTTGGTCAATGTTTTCTGAAATTCTTCAAACCTTTCAGAATAGAGAGTGATCTGCATTAACAGAAAAAAAAAATATTAATTTCAGAATCTCCAGGACAGTGAACTTCTACTTTGGTAGAAGATAATAAAATAAATTTTGCATTTGGACATTGAAATTAGCTTGTTTGGAGAATATGAAGCACAAACATCAGGAAACAGAAACTCTACACATCTTTTTAAGGTTGCAAACTATTATGATTCCATTATTGCAGAAAGGTACATTGAGTAAGAATAGAAAGACCCAGGCAAGTGATTTTTAAAAGACCTGGGAATTGTGGATGCCCTATTCTCCTGAATGTTCCAGCTATGGTGTTTCTACACAGGGTATCCAGAAGCAAAATAATTCCCTAGATATAGAGACTTCTGAAACGTTTCCCTTGGTTTGATCCCGACCCATCTCCATGGACACGAACTAAGCTGAGCTGGTCCAACCACTGATTCTGTGCAGGACCATGCAACAGGATTCACTCAAGGTGAGAGCCACCGTGATAATGAGCTGTGCCTAAGCTCTAAGTCTTACTTCACCACGCAGACATCACCAAACCTCTGCTTTAACCCAAGGGTATAAGCCCTGATGGACCTTAGCAGAGGAGCTCAGTACCACTTGGCTGCCCAGCTGTTCACCTGCCTTATGGATTACTCCCCCAGCCAGGCTAGGAGCTGAGTGCTACCCTGGCTATGCTGCTTCTGATGTCCAAGTGAGCTGGGGGAGAGGCATCCCCACATCAGGCTGCAACCACAGTTTCCCCTCTTCCATCATTCTGCCTGGTGGCTCAGACTGTGGCCTGGAGCTGCAAAGGCAGTGCTCGATGTGCTTCACTGGACTCCCCTGTTGAAGAGGAGTGTCGTTGCTCACCCCACCACTAAGCAAAGCCCACCCTTCACTTTCACAGCACTGTGATTCTGCACTGTATTACTTCAAGATGCATCCCTGTACCATGGCTTGAGCAAGCTGAGGGTACCTTGTCAGCTCTGTTTTGTAGCCTGCATGTGGACTGCAGCTGTGGGCAAGGCCAGCAAAAGCAGAAGTGATCTCCAGCTGGCCTTTTCTGCCGGTTTCACTTCACGAAGCAGAGCAGAAGAAAGGTCTGTTGCAATGTGCCAGCATTTCAGACTACTAGGGCTCCATATTGTACTGTCAGTGTATACCTGGCAGCCATGTGAAAATTCACCAGTAGCTGTATTTTGTCAGTAATACCTATTTTTTTATATCTAAAATCATTAGGGAGTTCTAAAGATCTGAAGTTAGTTTTTCTGTATGATTTTCTCATTTTTCACTTTTTCTGGTGTGGGATTTTTTGGGGGGTTTTTGTGTTTGTTTCTTTGTTTTTTTGTCCTCTGGAAAGGAAGACCAGCTCCAGCTTATTCACTTCCTTCTAGTGCCAAAGCATCCCCAATAGTGTTTAGGTGATCAGACATTTCATCTGTCCAGCCTGACAGCTCTTAGAAAAAGTGATTGACATAACATGTGGTGGCTGAGGCAGGGTAGGTGCAGGGCAATGGGAGGGTCAAGAACAGCCTGCAGTATTCTCACGTCTGAGTGGAGGCTGGCTGCCCTCTCCACACTGTCAGGGAGCTGGCTAAATGATTAGCTAGGAGCTTTCTTTTTGTGTGGTGCCGGTCAACTCATCCCCTCCCCTGATACTACTGTGCAATTACTGAGGAAAAGAAGATTTAGAAAACGTTGCTAGTGGTGGAGCATGTTTAATTCTGATTTTGAAATCAGGTATGGTTATATTATGTATTATACTCATTTAAACTAGTTGTTATGATGCCCCTTGTCACAGCCATAAATGCACTGTACTGTGGATGTGTTCCAGCTAAGTTTAACCTAGGTAGTTATGGCCCCAGTGGCTGTGAACACAGCACTGGCTGCAGCCCTTCCCCGCCAAGGTGAGCGAAGACATGGGAGGTTAATCTGTACAGAGTTCTCTGTGGTGCCAGTATCAGAGCTAGCTGACATGAAGCTCGTGTGTATTTATAGAAAGCTGTATCCAGAGTTGTGACCTAGGCACAAACAAAAACTCAGAGGGATTTGTTTCAGCAGGCCAAGTGCCACAGCCTAAGTGGGACACTGATATCAAGTAAGACATTTGGAATAGATGTCATAGCTCTAAGAGGAAATGCCTGAGCATCTCAAAGCCAGGTGAGGGAGCAGGGGTGGGAGTCAGCAAACTGAGGCTCTTAGCCCAGACCCATTGCCTTAAAAAAAGCTCACCTCAATTCTGTCATTGCTTTTCTCTTACAATTTTTGTTTAATTAAATTAAAAACCTTTCATGTTTGAACAGGGCAAGCTCTGACCTCAGCTGGGGCCCTAGGCAGCACCATAGCACCAAGAACAGTTTCTGCAACTTAAAATTGAGTAATGAATGAATGTTTTCACGGTGTCTGGGAACAGGCTGTGAGAGCTGTCCCTACCTAGGAGCACAAGCTTGTGCTCCTAGGTCAGGGAGACAAGGACCCCCCTGCTGCTGCCCACTGCCCATCCAGTGCCCTGACTGTGTGGGCAAGGAGAGCAGAGGTAGAGCTGCTGCCAGTGCAGGGCCTTGGAGAGTGGGGGCACCTCAGCGCTGCAATACTGAGAGGGTGCTTCTTACAAGGACACCCCTTTGGCCTTGTTATGTTCTTCTTGGTTGCCGTAGCCTAGTGGTTGCACTATGCTGGCAACCAAAAATTAAAGATCTCAGCTGTCATCTATCTTATTTTGTTTCAATGCATGAAGCTAAAATAATCTGCCTAAGCATCATACCTGGGGAGAGCGTGCAGCATCCTGGGAAGCACGACCACAGTTTGGGTGTAACCCTCAGCTGGTGCCAGATTCCTGTCACCATTCGGAGTGCCAGAATTGGCCATCTCAGGCACATTATGTGACCCAGAGACAGGCTGGCATGAAGATGATGTCTGTGGTTCCTTACAGCTCAAGGAAGCAGTGGGTGCTCATCACCTCCTCTAAAATGGAGTGGTATTTCTGTGAGGGTTATATTATGGCTTCTCCCTATCTCACTGACTAATGTCTTATAATTTCCATGCAGCTGTTCCTCTGCTAATCATAGGACGACTTGGGTTGGAAGGTACCTTAAAGACCATCCCTGGCGTGGACAGGGACATGTTTCACTAGACGAGGTTGCTCAAAGTCCCATCCAACCTGGCCTGGAACACTTCCAGGGATGGGACATAACATCTATGTATTGTTTTGTGTTGTTTGCATCAAGGAGCTCTTTATGCTCTTTCTATTTGGCACTTGCACAAGACCTTACATGATGGCATCTGGTCCATGAGGGAGGCCTTTCAGTGTTACCATTCTAGAAATAATAAAAGTAACAAAAATAATACTAATAGTGTTATTATTCCCAGTAATTTGAAAGGGAGGTTGATGTGTGACAGAGCCCTCACACTCGAGCCATATACAACTGTATGTTTCATTTCAGCAAATGAATCACTTAAGTTTCTCTACACAAAACTGAAAGGGGCACATGTATTTTCAATGCCTTTGCAGACTTGTTTGACTGGATTTTTTCTAAAAACAATTTTACTGTTTCAAATGTATGCTTAATAAATTCTAGTTTTTATCAATACCTTCAGTTTCATTAAACTGGCTACAGAGGTCTTCCTGCATAAAAAAACCTTTTTCTGGTTGAACATAAAAGTTTAATTAAAACCACCCTGAGAAAATTGGGAGCAGGTTTGCAGTTGGGACAGACTCAGCTGGAGGCATTTGAGGTTTGATTGCAGAACCTGTCAAACTCGTGTCAGCAGGAATTTATATGTTCTTCCGTGTGCTACTGGCTTATCTTAACCCTTGAAAAAACAGTTGAAGAACCAAACCCCTCTTATCACATTTCCAGGTTATCAGTTTAACACTAGCATTTCTTGACTGCTCAACAGGTAGCAATTAGACCATCTGCAAGGTCAAAGCTGGAACAACTTACCAGTATAATTAACAGTGAGCAAGGGCTAGGAGAGGGTTTCCTAATGATGAGGAGGTTGGCAGCTGCAAGAGGGGCTGAAAGACTGACACCATCCCTCTCAAGCTTCTGCTAATCTTTCTCACAAATTTATCAAAGAAGATAAATCTACATGACTCTTTCTCTAAGTGTAGGAAAATCTACCAATACTCTCTTTTTGATGTGAAAATCCAGGATATCATCCAGTGTTCTCACTCCTTGATTCATGGTCTCACTCGACTATTCAGTGTTGATTATTGCATTGCTCCCAAAGTGTAGTATATACTGCCTATTTCTTGGTTTTACTACCTTTCACTCCAGCCTGACTCCTGGTGTAATTTGGCAAGTAATTTTATTTTATTGAAAGTTTCAAATTACAATTAAAACTAGCGACCCCTTTGCATGAACTCTTAGTAGACAGAATTCCTGCCAAAGTTAATGAAAACACTGCCTTCACACTCTAGTTCAGAAAAGCACATGAGCACATCAGCTTCAGTTTGGTAAATGTTTCATGATATGCATGTACTCCAGTGCTTTGCTGGATTATAAACCTGCCTGAAGGGTAGTTATGGTGTATAATCAAGCCAAGGCACATACATTGTTTTGTGGTTGAATACTGTAAACACTCATAAATCAGTGAACTATAGAATGATTAGGGTCGGAAGGGACCTTAAAAGATCATTTAGTCCAACCCTCCTGCCTTGGGAAGGGACACTTTCCACTAGACCAGGTTGCTTCAAGCCCCATCCAGCCTGACCTTCAACACTTCTAGGGATGGGATATCCACAAATTCTCTGGGCAACCTGTTCAGGTGTCTCACCACCCTCACAGTAAAGAATTTTTTCCTCATATATAATATAAATCTCTCCTCTTTCAGTTTAAAACTGTTACCCCTTGTCCTATCACCACATGCTCTGGTAAAAAGTCTCTCTCCACCTTTATAAACCTCTTTTAAATATCTAAAGGTTGCAAAAAGGTCTCCCCAGGGCCTTTTCTTCTACAGACTAAGCAGCCACATGACACAGTATGATCTGCAGTTGTGGGCATTACCTTACAGCTGGCTTGAAAATGACCTGTTTCCTTTGCAATAGTTTATGGGATGTAGAATGAGGGTAGAAGGAATACACAGAAAGTAGTTTAGATACTTTACCTGGAACGGGCCTCATGGGTTAAAAACTGGGAAACAAAGGCACACCATGCAATAATCTCTCCTACGTCACCTGTGCCTGCAGGACAGTCTCTTGCTCCTTTAGCATTTTGGCCTGGAGCTTCCATTCTGCAGCTTGGTTCAGGAGCTGTGTTTTGGGCAGCAGAGAGAAAAATTGTTAGGTCTCTAGTTTATCAGTTGGAAATCCTCATTCTCCAGCTACTCATATATCTACCTCTGCTGCTGTAATAAGGAGTGATCAAACTTTCAGGTGAATGTAGTTAGAGGAGTTAGGCAAGACAGGGTATTTAGTGTTAACTTGAGACATGGGATGGGCCATTTGGTTTCCAAAAGAACATTTGAACTGCAGCTCAAAAACTGCTTTGAATTAAGTGTGCAGTACAGTGGGCTATAAAAATTGTGGTATTTAACCATATCTTCACCAGACTTCTAGAGAATGCTTGTGATGCTTTTTGGCATATTCATTTCAGCACAGCTCCAGCCAAATTCCTGCTCTCCAATGAATGGCAAACTCCCTTTTGCATTAATGATCAGGACGTAGCATGGTCACAGTCAGACATGCCTCAAAAAATCTGCAAGTTTTCAGAAAGGGAATGCATAGTAAAGGCCATATATTTGCTGCTGTCTATTATCTTTGGGCTCTATTTGCATTGACAAGTGGAGAATCCCAGTTCAGCATGACAAACATCTCACTTAGGTCAAGGAGGCAGCCCAGGAAGAGCTTGACTGCAGTTTCATTCCTGGCTGCTCCTGGGAAGATGTAACTCCCTACTCCCAGGCATTTGGCAAAATTACATTCTGATATGAAGGCTTCAGATAGACCAGATGGAGGGTTGGTCGAGGCTGAACGAATTGTAAGAATGAGGTGTACAGAGACCTTTTCTGGCTACAGTTCTGAGTCAGGACTTCCAAAGTGCAGAGTAATATTTTAGCAATTGGTTTAATCTGAAAGCAGGAAACATTTAGCGAAGTGTGGAGGAAATATACCGGCTGCCTACCAAACATTTATAAAGTGTTTTACCAGTCAGGCCAAATGTGTTTTAGAAAAAGAATGCTAATGATAACTTGAGCAATGAGACATAAAGAAGTTAGTTACCACAAGATTTTGTTCTGTTTGACTAAATTGTGCTTAAATTGTACCGTAAGTTGGATTTAAAATAACACAGTTGGGCTCTGAAATTATATTGAAAATTAAAAGGACTTTGTACATCAGTGGACCCTACTCTTATACTGGAAATGAAAGGTGAATAGAACCACATGCAGGAAATGTGTTTGATTCCTAGTAAAAACCTTTATTCTAACCATTCTATTGGAAATAACACATGTAAACTATATATACCACCTGGCGAGAGAGCTGAGGATGCACCCTAAAATGCTGACTGCCTTCATCTATTTGTGGCAAAAAGATTATAAGCTCTAGAAAAATATTTCTTCCATCAATTTGGCCTTTGATATAGACTCACAGAATTGTTGCCATCTACAACTTCCTAGACAAGAATGTTTTACAGCTAAAGTATGTACTGTGTGAAGAAATGCCACATTCTATTTGTTTTCTACCTGCCTCTCAATAGTTATTTTGAGAATTTAATTGGATGTTTGGTTCAGTGGAAATAAATCAAATTCATGAATTTAGATCTTATTGGCTAACATTTCAAATAGGTTGTGTCATAGCCAGTAAAAAGAGATGGTATGGGTGGGCCTGGGTTAAATGAGTTTCAGTCCATGCATTTATTTTCTTGGAAGAGGGTAGGTTTCACACACATAAAAAGAATGATTTTTTTAAAAGTTGCATGAGATCTGGATATTTATATTTCACCTTTCTTTGATATCTACTTGTTTATGTTTTTTTTAGGAATTATAGGGTATCATGTTTGAATGATTTAATGAAAACCTTTTTGAAAACCTTCAGAGCTACACAGTCCCTAGGCCAGTCATTTCTTCGAAGAACTGGGCTTTTATCTGTATTGCTTTAATCTCAGCCAGGGTTACCTTCATACCCAGTGTGACTGGAACAATGAAAAGGTCCCACATCTTGTGCCATGTCTTCTGCCACAGCACAACAGATGGACAGAGAAGGCAAAGGAAGGTTGCTTCTTTTGCCTGTTAATGAAATTCTTCTCTCTTACTGACCCACATAGCTTCTGCAGCCAGTAAAAATCCAAGAGTTAATACACTATTCTGTAGTGGAAGCAAGCCACAGAGAGCCTTGCTCAAATTAGTATGTGTTCATATGCAGCCCGAGGTCATCTGCAAACACCAAGCTGGGAGAAAATGAATCAGAACTGATACATTTATTAATAGGCTGTGAAGTGGTAACAAGGAGGCTGAAGTATAAAAAAATGAATAAATATTGCATGTTGTGTTTACAAAGCAGCACTTGAGTGAAGTGTGGTGATGTTACACTCTATTATTAGAGCTATGATAGCTGCTGGAGACCCAGACAGTCACATCACACCCAGGACTAAAAGGACCAGTTCCCATTTAATGGCATGCATCTAGGGACTGGCTTAGAGAAAATTAAGCTTCCCTTTTTGCTGTCAGACTCTGTAAATTCCAATTATGAAGAAATCTAATCAATGCCTTGCAGTCATATACTTGAAAGCCATAGATGCTTTAAACTGTGATTAATTGCACATCAAAGTTTGTATTACAAGTGCTAAAAATGTATGGTAGGGAGAAGAAATCCAGGTAGTGCTGACCAGTTACAGGATGATAATAAAATTGCATCCTTAGGTCAAGTTGGCCCTTTGTGGAGGCCACACACTATGAACCATTGCTGCTTATATAGGGAATTGCATTCTTGGATGCATGTGTAGAGTGAATTGTGCAAGCAGTGAGAGGACCTGTCTGTTGAGATGTACAGAGACTGCAGGAGGGGACATCTCTCCTTATCTGACTTAAAGAAGCTAAGGGGCAAAGGGGCAAAGATTCCTACATGGAAGAACTGCCTAGGAAGATATTAAAGCGAGCCATCAAAGAGTAATCAAATAGATAAAAGAATACAATAATTTTAATTTAAGAACATTTGCAAAAACCTGCAGCAAAAGTCATGCACAGGGATATAGAAAATGCTATGGAGAGAAAGGTTCTGAAAGCCATTCTAACTTTGCACATTACTGAGCTGGAGAGAGTTACAGTGAAATGAGAGAACTCCTTCAAAACCACCTTGATTTCATACATACATATACGTTACTCCCACGGACACTAGCACAATAGCTTGGTGGGTGGGACTAAGAGCATATCAATAGGATTGAGGTGGGAGCCAAGTGTAGGCCAGCTTTCTGTGTGCTGGGCTACCTGTGATGAGTCGTGACATGCTTAATCATGCCTTGACTCATTGCATGGCTTTTGGCCTGCCACTTAAGTTCTTCAGCTAAATCTAACTTGCTCTGAGGTGTTGTTAGCCATATATCACCAGCCTGCCTCAAAGACAGAGTTTTTAAGCATTAATTTGGACAATGTGAAAAACATTCTTTGTACACTGCACATACCATTATACACCCACTGCTTAAAGGTTTTACAGCTTGTTTTTGAACCTGTTATTTCAGAGGTGCTAATCATACATACAGCAAAGCCAGAAAGAAAATCTTCCACTCTCAACTGTAGACAGTGATGACTTTTGCTACTTAAAAGGAAATGAAAATACCAAAATTGTGCATACCAGTTCTGGATAATCTACACAAAGTAGTTTTGACTAGAAACACGGCCAGTCACAGGCAACAAGCATCCCCAAAACTCATATTCTGTGAGACACAGCAAGAAAGATCATTGATACAAGGCTGTGTATGTCAGTTTTCCACAGAGATAATGCCTGGTCTTTTACATCTTCTGTTTTGAGGGTTTTTTTCCCAGTATATGAAATCTGGTAGTCAGTAGCAAAACTGCCAGTGACAGTAGTAAAGTAAGTTCCATATTTGCTTTACCATTGCAAGTGATTTCTTGGACATGTTTCTTGGGGTTTAAATCTGCCAAGAATCAATGGTCACAAAGGGAATTTTGGGGTTTGGCTTTACGTACTTTTCACAGTGAAAAGGAATAACTCAGCTGGACCAATCAAAATGTCATGCAGTGACATGCAGATTTGCACACAGAGAAGTCCCAGCCTCTCTTCACCTGCCCTCTTTAGCAATTAGTAAAGCTGAGCAAGAGTATGTGTTCCAGCCACAAGATCAGTGCAAAGAAAGAGGATAAATGCTCTTATGGGCAATTTTTGGTAAGAAGTGTTTGCTGTGTTTTGCTTGTGCTCTAACCCCAGGAATCAGAGCCCCACATTTTTGTCCATATTTTAAGATACTTATTAGCCATGCTTGTGCTACTACATCTGTTTCCAGATATGGGGAGGGGATAAATGTTCTCTCTTTAGAGCTCTCTCATGCTGCTCCTGAGTTAGCTGGAGGACTGGTGAAAACTAAAGCTTTCTTCCAGCTGATGAGAACCTGTCACTCCCCCTGAGTAGTCTCAGCTGTTGCCTCTGCTGAGAAGAGGTACTATGTGTCAGTGTTGAACTCCAATCCTTTGTAGATGTGAGGGTTGCTGTGAAAATACCAGACAGTCTGACAAAATTAATTTTGGTCTGATTGAGTCATAAAATATGTGAGACTACGGATGGAGGAGTGTTGTCTTCCGATCCCAGCTGTGCCTGTGGGTGACATCCCTCCTGGATCTACTCTTCCCTATTCCCCTGATAAAGAGGTCCCCTCCTCCAGATAGGGAGGAAGAGCAGACAAGGCTGCTAAGCAGACCCAGACCCTTTCTGCCTGAAAGGTGGGCTGGCAGACCAATGTAGGGAGGGGAACTGAGAAGGGAAGGATCTATCACAGCAAGCAGCTCCTGTGGACTCCTCCACAGGAGGATGCCTGGGGAGGCTCCGAACCTGGGAGGATAGCAGCCTTCAGCCATGTTCTTGTTCTCCTCTCTGATTGTTAAGATGTGTGCATTTATCTTGTGGGGAGATGGCGTATCAAATACCAGAGCCATTTGAAAACTGATGGCATCACCTACCCAACATCACAATGAATCAACTGCATAGTAACAGTGAGTTAGCTAGAGCAGCCTGTACTCTAAGCTACCGCTCTGCAGTTTGCTTCTAAAACTGTAAATGCCAATGGAAGCAGCCTTCCAGAGGCTGTTCCTTTGTATTAAGCATTGATGGTAGCTATAAAAACTTCTCTGCTACTGTATCCTAGATTGGACCTGAAGAACCAATATATTAGTGAAATAGCATGCAGGGCTTGTTTTGGCTTAAAGTTAGATAAAAGACAGACAGATTAGAACGACAGGTACATATTCCTTCTCTTTCTGATGTCGCTCCTCAGCTTCTTTCATCATTTCCCGAGACTGTTCCAACTTGGCATCTACCAGTTTCTGCTGAAGTTCTCTGTGCTGAAATATTTTATCAAGGTGCTGTAAGAAAATAAATTCTGCTGAATGCGTAGGTTTAATTATCTACATAGACCTTCATGCTTATGCATGTACAGCTATTAACCAGAACTCTTGTAAGACAAAAATATTGCAAAACAAGAAGACACCCAATCTATTGCAATTACTAAAAAATCACAGCTCTAATAAGAACAAACTGTGACAGATTTTGCAGGAGAAGGGAAACCAGTTTACTTTATCAATTTTGACCTATTGTAGGGGGAAAAAAAAGCCTTAGCATCTTTGCCAGTTTTATGGTCTACATATGAAGTCATCACTATAATCCAATATGACTGAAGATCAAATAATTGCTCATTGATAATAAATATGCAGGGGACACACTTTTTTTTAGCTGTTCAATGGCCTATGGATCCAAATCACTATGTGAACAAATGTGTAAATCACACCTACAGAACTTGGAAACAGGTGCACAGGCCATGCCATCCTCTATGTAAATACAATCCCCTTTGCTCTGGCCACACCTGCACAATGTGGGCATGGAGGGCCTGGGATCTGGAGATCAGACCAGATGAACCAGAGACCTCCTCTAGACTGTAAAATGTCTAGCTCTATGGTGACCTTCAGGAGATAAATGTTGCTGATAGCCCTCTTCACTCTTAATTCATTTAGGTAAAATTCATTGGAGCAAATATTCTGTGTCCCTCTGGTTTACATTTTCTTCTCATAGAAACCACAAGACAGGAATGTACACTTCCTTCATTCAGTATATGACTTCATACATGATTCAACAGATTTGGAAATGCAGGTATTGTATCAGCCATTCCAGATTGTAAAGACAGATTATTTATGTTTTATTCAGTATGTTGTCTGATTGCACTGAGGCTCACAGTAAATGTATTTAAAAACAATAAAAAGACCCATGGTGATATTTGTTAGCATTTGTCATAAAATAAAACAAAAAGGCAGTTGGGATTTTAACGGAGGATGGGGATTTTTGCGTCAAAATTTTCTGACCAATTCCAATGTTTACAGAAAGAATAATTTCCCATCTGTCTATTACCTGCTAAATCTTATGGTGAGCACTGTGTTTGCAAAAAAAAAAAAAAAAAAGAAAAGAATCTATTCAACTTCAGAGGGCCTCCTTTATCTGTTGTCTTAATTTTCTGCTTTGGGGAAGGGTCAAATGGCTTACATCAGAGCTCTTCTCAGCAAAGTGTATCTGGAGGGAACAAAGTATATTTGGTGTCACCAGCAGAACAGGTTGTTCAGAAAAATGGGAGCTGGGATGTGCTCAGTGGGAGCTCAGCAGGAAGGAGGAAACGGATGCTGGGAGATGTCCCCAGGGATTTGGGGGAGCTATGAGGAGCCTTGGGCAGTTTAGCAGACAGCTGGCACACCTTGCTGCTTGTGTGAGTTGGCACCCCTCGGCACAGCAGCAAGTCTGCCATGGGTGCCATGGCTGGGGTGCTGTCCCATACAACTCCATGGCCGCAGAGCATGGCAGGCTTGCTGCAGGCATAGTCCCACTCAGAGGGCAAAGTATGGTGAGGACTATCCTTATTACCTCTGTGAGACGCCTGAACGATAGCCGGCAAGGCAGATAGGCTGCTGGCAATGCCTTCTGCTTTCCCTGGGTTTGCTGCCTGTCTCCTCCAGTACCCACGGCATTGCTCTCACCTCTTCCCGCAGCTCGTACTGGTCAATGATGCTCTTCAGCTTCTCTGCCAGCTCCGTATTCTCTTGGCAGAGCTTCATGTTCCTCTCACTTTGCTGCTCGATCTGAGCCTGTATTTCACTCAGTGTGCCCTGGAAGTGATTAGTTATTTCTTTCCTCTTCTCATCTTCCTCTCGTGCCCTCTGAATTGTTTCCTCCTGTTGTTAAATGGGAAGGAACACAGTAAGTTAGAGGCATAATAAGCAGTTCCAGAAAGATACTGTTTCAGAGTAGCATAAGCCCTCCCTTTGAAGGATTTTACATGTTTGCATTCCTCTTTGGAGATTTTCTTGCTTTCATCTGCTCCGGCATTAGGCGTGATTCTAAATTTACAGAGCAAATTACACAGTGGCCTTGAAAAAATTAGGGAACAAAGAATTTGCATTTGTAAAGATGGATGTAGAGCAGAGCTCCAGATCAAAGCAAGCCTGAAAGAGAGGACATGTGTGCATATCTTGATTCATGATACTGCAGCACAGCTTTTGCTTTGGAAGAAGATGTTTAGTGAAGCAGTCCAAAGCTCTTTTATCGAAATTCTCTTTGACTGAATTAGAATATGACCCTTTAAAATACCTCCTGTTAACTAGGACTCTTCATATCAAATGTATGGCCTTTGGGATTTTAGTTTTAAGAGAAATTCATCACTTGCTGAAGAATCCATTCCAATTCCTCAAGTTTTCTCCCCTACTTTTTAACCCACATAAACATTTGCACTAATTTATTAGTGAGTGGAATCAAGGAAAGCTTGTGTGCAGTTTCTTACAGAATCAAAGCAGACATTCAGAATTATTTTTTTTACCTATTATTGAAATTCTGTTTTAGATTTGTTTATACAAAAGACAATGCAGAAAGAATCTGGATTCATTGCTTTGGATCCAGAAATATGGACTATTTTTAGTCCTTACTTTTGCTTCCAGGACAGTTGTCCTTCTGTGGAATGTAACCCTGATACAGAGTGGCTAGGACCATATCTGCTGTAGTTACAAATCATGCCAGGACCATCTTAAGAACTCACTCCATAGCATGCAAATGGCATACTCTAGTAAGGTTTCAACTAGCATAGTCATTTACATAAAAATCTCTGATGACACTGCATATGGATATTTTCTATAAATATATTTGAATAAAGCCTTAGCTAACTCTAATAGGGTATAATTTGTATCATGAATGTGCACAGAAATCACCATGAAGCCCTGCTGTGCTCTGCAGTTTACACAAGAACACATGTGTATGCTCACAAAGAGAGTAAAAGAAAACATGAAACCAGAAGAACTCTCCCTTTTAAGAGAAAGAAAGAATGTCAGGTGGAGCTGGGCAAGTGACTTGGAGATTGGGTTCTGGTTCAGTACCCGGATTGGAAATTGGACACATGGAAAATTTGCAGCAAGATGAAAGAGAAGCTCTCCAATTATTTTTTTTTCAGTTGGTGAGAATGATTTTGAAACATTTTGCTTGACCAGCAGTTGAGCTGTGTTCTGTTTCTAGTCACTTTTTGTTTAAATTTTTCTAGTAAAAGAATGCTTTTCCAAAGTAGAGTTATCCCATGACTCACAGAGTTAAATCACCCACTGTAAAACTCCCCACCCTGAGGGAGGTACTGAACCTAAGTATATATAATCTTGGGGTTTTGGAACTTCTGGTACCACTTGTTAGTTCCAGAGGAGGACCAGAAGTCCACTAGGACTGCAACTGCCACTCTCGACAAGACTGCGATCATTACTTCAACAGGACTGTGACCATCATCTGGACCAACAGGTTTCCTTTCCTTTTACCAGGGGGACCACGTGGTGCTCAGCACAGGGGTAACAAACCCCATTCTATTCTTGTCCCAGGGTGCTGGGTTATACATCTGTCTTTGGGGGTTAAAACCAGTTTTCTCTGTATCACTGTATTTATTGTAATCTTTTTAATAAATTGTAACTCTGACTTGTAATCTCTCTTGAGTTGGGTTCATTTCTCCTACCGGTTTACTTCTAAACCAGCACAACCTCTAATACACTGTTTAAAAAACTCTTCATGCCTCTTAGTTCTTCATTATAGAAGTGCAGCCCCGAGCAGGGAAAAGAGTGACCAGGTGCTTTCACTTCTGGAAGTCAAAGTGAGAAATTGAACTTGCATGTCTGGAGTCCTATTTCTATGGTTTCAAAACATCCTTCCTCAAAAAATTTATTGTTTCAGTAGACCAAATAGTGTTATAACACATCACTGCTGTGATTTAAAGCTCTGTGGAGTAATAAATCCAGCTGAATATATAAAAAAGGTGGATTGTGCATCTGTCACACCAAATGGCTCTGTTACAAGGTGAAATGAGACATCCTGAGAGTAACAATCATGCAAATGTACACAAACCAACCCTCTGTGCATGTGTTCCTCAGAGGATCTTATTTCCTGCTCTTCTGAGGTAAAATAATTATGCAATACAGAGCACAGAGACAATATATAGATTCATTGTTAAGACACTGAGCCAGCAAGAATTTGGTTGCAAGACACAGTATTTCTCTAGATCTTTTCTGCTTCAGAGAAAAATATATTTGAGGAGGATGTTTGCTTGGGGAGGGGCCCTGGTGTGTGTGCCAGAGAGCTCCTCAGAGTCCCTCATTTGTTAAATCCTTGAGATCCCAGTCACAGATTAAGGCTCAGTGTGGGTGAGAAGAGCTGGCTGAGCTGAAGGACAACTGTGTGGCTACAGCACTGCACAGACTGACAGGCACTGCCTCTTTCCTGTGCCCAAGACCAAAAGCCTCTTTGCTCAGTGCTTTGCCATGAGTGGAGCTCGCTGCATCGCTGCTAGTGCCCAGCTAACAGTAGACCGGTGCCTGGTCCCTAAGGTAATACAGTTTTAATCTCACAGGCTTCTAAGTGCTACCAATAATACTATGAGAATAGTGATAGGACTTTGGAGGTGTCTGCTTTAAACCTGAGCCTTTACTAGCCTATGGCTGAGGCTGTGTCTGCACTGGAGCCAAGGAGAGGGCTGGATGCCCACGGTGCCAGCATCAAAGCTCTATATCCCTGCCAGCTCTGCTTCAGGGCTGTGGGGCCAGCTCCCCTTCACCCATCTCACCTGGACAGGCACGGTCTGGCAAACCTCAAATCATCATTATCACCTAGGTTTTATTATCGCAAGGCTACAGCCTCAGCTCTTTGCTCGTACCAATCCCTGGCACCTGAGAAAATGCATGTTTTTCGAATACTTCCTTAGTGTTTCCCATTTCAAGATAACACAGTGTAAAGTAAAATCCTGAAGATTTCCCCCAAATGGGAGTCTTGAAGACTGATTACTGTTTTGTGTTACTGCTGTTGTAACTGAAGTAGCTGCGTGGAGTCTAGAGCTTCTGGCTGACTTGGTTTTAGGGAGCAGAGCAGAGGGTGTTTGGGGAGTGAATTCTCAGCATCATCATGGTTAATTCCTAACATGCATACAATGCTTGGTCTTGTCAGTTGCTTCACTTTCTACTTTTAGTAGAAAAAAAAGCTACTTTTAGTAGCTTTTAATTAAGTGTTCAATTTTAGTGAGAAAAATAAAGCATTGTAAATTATTTTTAGATTTCCAGTTGTGGAAAGCTGAAGTCCAGCCATAAACTATTGTTCTTTTTTCTCTGCCTTTTCTTAATCTTCACAATCCATGTCAACCTTTCAAAGACATATTCTTGCATCCTACTGTAATATTGCTTTTGCTCAGGTGTTTTGCTGCTAAAAATGTAAGAATGAATTGAATAAAACCTTGTAAAATCAAGACAAGGATATTTTGCAGTTTGGGATTTAGCACTGGAATGTGAGATAATTTGAAAATAGAAGAGTGTGATTGTCTCTGGAATTGTCCTCATGCCTCTCTGGGCCAGCTCAAGAAGACTGTTGGTCTGCTGAAGTCCTATCAACCAAGAGGATATGAGAGTGGAATTCTTTTTTTCAATTAACCGTTTTCTTCATTCCTGGGCACCACAGTCTGAGCCAGTTTGAAGCTGAGCCCACAGTCAAAACTGTTGACTTTTGTGACATTTGTATGAAAGTCATTGCTTAATGCCTGGTGGCAAGAAGGACAGGGGACCTGAGATGTTCATGTCACTGCAAGATACTAAGTAGCTACCAAACTGTCAGATAATTGACAGAACATGAACTCCATCCAGAGAAATTAATTGCTCTGTTTCATAGGAGACCTACTCTCTATTGCAGTGGGAATACATTCTGCTATTTCATGAACCTTTATTCTGCTTTTCTTGGAGGGAGAATTAAATGTCCGTGTAACTGCAAGGAAATAATCAGAATACCTGGGCTGTATGCAAGTCAGAATTTGAGGCTGGTATCCAATACTAACCAGAAATTTTTCTTCTCTGATCTGCCCTGTGGATTTTCAATACAACTCCACATTGCATATTCATCACCACTTGGCTGCATGGATCTCCAGTTAATGGGAATTCCACACACCATCTGAGTGAAGATGACACTTACATGACGTGATGTGCATACAATATACCACATGGTAAGTCAGAGATGGTTCGTGATCTGGGCAGGCCAGGTTTCTCCTTTGTTATTGAAATGGCACAATTTTCTACAGATTTTATTTTTTGTGTTTTGGAACATAATCAGAGGTGCTAATCCCTAGCACTAAAAAATTATGAATCAGCTTCTCTGTCCTGCCAAAACCAAAATAAAAACATTTAAGTATGAGATTTTAAAAATAACATTTGACGGATTTTCCTCTTTCGGACCCTCTCAGTACAGTCTTAAGTGAAAGAAAATTGCACTCAGTTAAATAAACAGAACATGAGTTTCTGGAGAGTCACAGATCTCCAGGAGCTAGAGCTTAAAGGCAAATATTCCAAGAACTATGCTAAAATTCTCAGAGAGATGAAACTGGATAAAGATAATGAATGCCTTTGTTTATTAATTTAATTCACGTATATTTTGCAATTATTTTGTCTTACTGTCTTATTTAACTTTGTTTTTTCTACACTGAAAGCACAGGAACCAGAGGAAAGATGGTATATTGGGTTTCTTAAAATTCTTTGAAAGAAGTGGCCAGAATTTGAACACTTCTTCCTACTACCAGATCAACTCAGGTACCTTTCCTGACTCATCTGGCATAAGCACAGGATAAAAATCAGAACTGAGTCTGAAATTGATAGGTTTATTTAGAGCACCTAGTCACAAGGCAAAACAGTCCAACAAGTGGAAAGGTGCTGGAAAGAGACTTTCCTAAATGTAAAGCTGAAATGTGTGATGAAATATTTATATACAAAGGGGAAGGGAAAATCATGCTCTCTAGTAACGAGATTAATAAGCATAAAGTAGCTGGGAAATTGTGTGAGAAATTCAACCAAATTTGTTCCAAATATGTTTTCCAAATATAATTAATTTTTCTTTATACCCCAGTCTCCACCAACTTGTTCCCCTAATATTATTTGTTTAGTAATCTCAGTTAAGGCTATGCAAAGCACTATACTCTGTACTCTTAATTCACTTTAGAACTGGCTTGTATTTCTGTTGAAAGATTTTGCCCACAGACAGTCTGGTTAATCAGTGTAAATCAGTATTGAAGTACAGTTCAGATCTGGTACAAATTACAGGCATATATTTAATTTTCACTACCAGTTCTGTGCTACTATAACTGGGCACAGAGGTTTGCTTCTAGTTTCCCCATATGTTAAACTGTTTCTATCCTTCTACTAGCTCACAGTTTAAATATATGTGTGACCATTGCCCTCTCCCAGATGTATTCTTACCAGTGTACAACGAAAGTTAGAGCTACACCCTGAAGGCCCACTCCTGAGCTGGTGGAAATGAATGAAAGTCCATTACAGTTAATAGGGGTTATATCAGGTGGAATTCTTGCTGCTGACAATTCATACATGTAATTCTATACATAACTATATCCCCTTAAAGAAGGGGTTTGAATAGATGAAAGCAGAGGCTTTTCGTATAATAATACAACCACCATCACTAACATGTCCTCAGAAAAAAAAGGACAATCACAACAGTAACATACTTCGTGAACCTACAATTTTTCACGAAGCATAAACATATTATAAATTTCACATTTAAATGGTGTGATGCACCAAGCAATAGGCAGACATATGGATCCCAGCCTTTTGATACTCCAGAAAATTTCCTCTTTGAACTGATTCTTGTAATCCAAATTACTTTCACAATGTTGGCATTCTTCCTGTCTTATGTTTGATGTCTTGAGGCAAATGTCCTGATTGACTGACCTTCACAAATCACTTGAAAAATCCAAGTACTCAAATTATGTGAAAATACCCACCAGCATTCTGTGAGTCCACTGGAGCAAAGCTGGTGTCCCTGTTATTCTGTCCATGCACATGCATTTTCATCTGCAGTCTCAGGGACCTGGTCTGTTAGCACCACTGCTTTTCTCTGTGCTGAGCTCCCTGATCATGCAAGGAGGGCTTACAACTAGTGTGGGCAAACACAATATCCAAAAGTGCTTGGATATTTCCAAATGAGAAATAAAGAGGTCTTGGTGTAAACGGACCTCAAGACATATAATTACATGATATATAATTAAAACATATAATTATATATTTTTATATATATTACATACTACATATATTGTACAGTATATAGTATATATATTGTACTTATTATAAATACAATTATAATATATAATTCTATATTGCAAGTACAGAAGCAAACGTCTCTTTGACCTGGTACTAGAGCAAGATGGGAAGGCATCAGCATCTTCTTCCCCTCCACTGCTCAGTACCTTGCTAAGGCCACCACCCACCTTGAGGTTTTTGTTGTGTCTCTGGAGCTCCCGGCACAGGCTCTCCAGCTTGCTGCGGGCAAGGATGGCTCGGCTGTGCTCACTCTGCAGCTGGTCCTTCTCCTTGGTGATCTGAGCCTGCCTCTTCTGTAGGTACTTCAGCTTTTTCTGCTCGGCACGGTGTTCTTCGAGCTGGGCAGGAAACAGGGATTAAAATGAAAAAAGACAGGCAAAAAAGAAAAGAAAATGAGCTTTTTTGGTTTAGAGAGTGTTCACACTTTCTTAACCTCTTAGGAAATGTTTTGTATTCGTCAGTGCTAATGGGAGAGGAGAGAGGGAGCTGGAGAGAGTCCCAAGACTGCTCACTGCAACAGTCCCAAGTCTGCTGTAGTGTGGGTGGGTGAACATAATTTTTAACATTCTTGTCACACCATTTCAGCCCTTCCTTCTTTGGTTTGAATTTTTTTGAAGGACATCTGTGAGGTTTTTATTTTTGTTTTGGCTTTAGGAACTAGAACAGTCAGTAGTGCTTTATGCAGTGAGATTTCTCCAGATCATGAGATAACACAGTAGTTGCTCATTCTTTTTTACAGTTTCCTGAAATAAAAGTGGCTTCCCAAATACCCAGGAACCTTCTGGAAAAAATAGCAAGACAAGTGCTGGAAACCAAGAATGCTGTCTGGATGGGAGCCTTGTTGCTGATGGAGGAGAATTCTCTTCAGGGAAGAGCTTCCCAAAATGTCATGCGGGCACCTACTCTTGCCAGGCTCCTCTTGATCACAGGACCATGTGGCAGCATCTGTCAGTTGTGTTTCTGGAGGTCCTGCCATCAACAGGGGTAGGTTGTGGGAAGTGAAAACTCTTTTAGGCTCTTTGTCTCCATATAGTTACTGAAGGAAATCTGGACAGTCCCTGATGTTCATTTGAGAACCTCCTGTTCCTGTGGGTGCATGGCTCCTGCCTTCCCTAGAGGGCTGGTGGGGAGGAGAGTGTATTTGGAGGGGAGAATGAGGGGCAGCAACAGAATTGCTAATATCAGTCCCTGCGTAGTCTGGTCATTTTTTTTGACACATGCCTATTAGAGTCTGCTTGGAAAAAATTTCCTGTACTGTAAATTAACAGTCAAGTCAAAGAAGCATTTTCCCTCTGAAGCTTTTAATGATTTCGTCTCCCATTCCAACACATAAGAGCCCTCCCCACTGTATCACAGGCGTGCATACATTGTGAGATATTTCTGAAGTCTAGATGTTTTCTTGTTGAAAAATATTAGCACATGATCTGCAACATGCAAACCTTAATAATAACAGTTGCTATTAAGACTATATTATCTAATAATATGGTACCACTAGTATTAATTATTAACCCCAGTATGACTGGGAAAGTCTGTGAGCACCGGGGAATGATGTGCAGCTCAAACAAGACAGTCAACAAGCATCATATTTTTACACTTTCTCTGCCCGAGGATCTGTTTTCTGCAGTTGTTCTGTAATTTATGCTTCCAGTAGAGACCTCTGTGTATTATTAATCAAATTGCACTTTTTGTGTACCACAAAACAATGCAGTCGTCCGCTTGGAGTATATTTACAGTTTGTGTCCAACTTTCAGCGTGTGCATTGTGTTTTACTCCCATAGATCAGAATAGGGCCTTTCGAATCTATTCAAGCACCGAAATAATTTTTCTAGTATTGTAGGAAAAAAAAATAGCCTTTCTGTAGTTAAGGCTGAAATTTTTTTTCCTTTATAAGCTTAATTTTGTTCCCTTTCGCTTTCATTTGAGAAGCATAAAAAATGTTCTTTTTGCTTCACATTTTGCATGTGCAGCCAGTGCTGAGTGGATAATAATTTACCCAAATTTCAAAAGTCGCTCAAACTCTGCATGAGATAGGTGGTTTAGAATAAAGTAGGTCTTAATCATAATAAAAGAAGTCTTCCAAGCATTTTTTGCCTTTTTTTTTCCCCATTAAAATAACTTGTACTAGAAACTTGTATTTCAAAGTTCTCAGGAATATCTAAGACTACTTTTGCACTGAGAAAGGGTAAATAGGAATGACAAAAGGGCTGCCAATGATAAATTTTTAAGAATAATTAATGAAATATAAGCTAAAATTAAATGCAAATAGAAGGAATTACGATTTTTGGAAGGTTGATCTAGAGAAATAAACAGTTAATTTAGGAAAAAAAGTTTTATCTTGACCCCACTGCAGACAATGAAAACACTTACATTTATTTATTTATTAGCATATGGTTCTTGCACCCAACACTTATGAGAGACCCTCAAGATCTCTGAAAATAAGCCAATCACAGCTTGTGCCCAAATGGCTATGCTGTCTTGCTTCCCCAACCTCACAGGCATGGCTTCTTTCTTCACCAGCCCATGCTCTTCCCTGATGCCTTCTGTTGTGTACTCGCAGTCACTACACACTGTGCCAGGGCATGTGCTGACAGATAAATAACATATTGCTGGTTGGCCATGGGGAAGGGTCAGTGCTGCATTGGGTGCCCAAGTACCAGAAACCTCTTAAGCCACAGCCAGCCCCAACACTACCTAAAGCAGGGGAAGCTCAATCTGCCACATGGCTACATCTTCCCGTGACCTCTGCTGCAACGAGTGTTTGCGTCACCACATGGCTCACCAGACCAGGGAGCTGATCTGGGTGGAAAACAACTCAGCAAAACAAGATGTGATCTGAAGTGTGTGATGGGGATAGACAAGAGGGAGCAGAGAGAGCTGACAAGCTATTAATCACACTACACCCCTCAGCCGCGCTGAGTGAGCAGTGTAAGGCTTTCTCCAACAAGATTTTAGTTGTATTTATTGAATGATTTATTTCAGTGACATTGCACAGTATGTCAGAAACAAATGCTCAGTAGTTTTGTTTTAGCACCTTTCTCCTCCATGAGTTACTGGAAATAAGGTCCCTGTTTTATACATTGCTGCAATGCTGTTTGAATGCAGTGAAGAGTACTTTATAGAGGAAGGAGACCTATTTCTGTTAATCTGAGAGCATGAATTCCCTTTAAGCATGAGATAAAGCATGAACAGAGGATTTCATATGAAAAAAGGGAAAGCTAAACTTCACATTATGATGAGACATGGACACATCTGTGCATAAAACCAATTACAAAGTCAATGATCTGCTTGGCACATTTTTCAGCACTCCACAAACTGTAAAATGCTGCAGCCTTTTAATTTGAAAGATTTTCACAGCTTATGCTCATACAGTCCTTTCACTACTTAGAAAAAAATTAATCTGAAAATAACCCATCATCAGTGTGGAAAGAACAGAGTTGGGTAGGTGGCATTGTTATAGGGATGATGTTATGTTGGCAGAGGCTTTGGCTCTTCATATCATTGTGTTGTGTTTTCTCTTACGATTAGTCCCAGTTGGCTATTATCTGCTTCCTAATATTTTATACTAAGTCCTGTATTATTTTCATTTTAATTAAATGACTGAAACGTAATTTAAAGAAATACCCACTTACAGATGCATGCAAAACTCCTTGCAGAAGGTGAAGACAGAAGCCTAGACATTAGTCTCCAGTGTGGGTCAGTTTGGTAGATTTGCTTTTAAGTATGAATATTCTGCCTCATCAACGTTTTGACCCAAAGTTCAGCTTGTTTTCCTCACTTTTTACTTTTTTTTCTCCATCTTACCCATAATTATTTGACCATGACAATTATTTTGGGATTCATTTAGCACAACAGACAGATCTATTACATGAGATTTGACCATGCTGCATGACAAGTTTTTTATACCTTCCTATATGGACAGATTGTACAGAAAAGAACCAATACTGTACTAACCAACTCAGCATACTTCTTAAACAATAGGTCCAACTTCTCTTCTGGAGTATTCAGTTTATTCAAGCTTTGCATCAGTAGGGTGGCTTCTTTTCCTTCAAAAAAGAAGAAGAGGAGATTTGATGGTAGTTTGGTTGATGTTCTGTTATAAAATTGTTTGTTTGATGCATGGATCTGGAAAAACTCAGAGAGAAATGAGGTATTTTGGAAGGAAAGGAATATTTTTTGCTATGAACTTCTGGGGTTTTCGCCATAAGAACAAACATGCTAGAATCTTCCTCCATTTCAGACCTCAGTAATGTGCTCTATTCTAGCAAAAGCGTTATCTGTGAAATGCTTTTGTCCTGTGTAATCTGATTTTCATTGAATGTTTTTGCAACATGTTTAGGTCACATACATGGCACATATTTGACTGAAATAGGGAGAGAAAGGGCCTGGACCCTGAAGGCCCAGGAATAGATCTCTTTGCAAGTGAAAGCAGATCAGAACTGGTGTACTCAGCTCCTTTGCTGCTCAACTCATACATGACATAAGGAAGATTAAGTTAGGTATGGAGACTGTGGTGTGGAAGTCAACAATCAGAGAGTAGTAGGTACTGCCAGCCGGGTCTGAGCTACATGATCCTGGTGTAAATCAGTTCCATGAGTTGGTGAATAGAGTATGTATACCAGAGAAAGTCTGATAGCTCTCTGGGGTGTGAATAGCTAAATCACTGCATAGCCATTTAAGTATTGCTTCTCCTCTGATACCTCTCAGTATTCATTTCAGCCCCAAGCATGAGCTTGAGCTTGAACACTGCTTGTTCATCAAATACAAAGTGTCCCTGGCATCCCTGGAGATAAGGTTGGCTGTGGTGCCAGGGGCTTAGATGTGCTTTTCCAAATGCTCCCCTTTCCCAAGGCTGTGAGACAAAATCTGCTTTCTGCTTTAGGCTGGACTTTTTCCATTTCAAGTCTAGTGCAGTCCAGAAGTACTGTCAGTGGAGAAAATCCTTTATTTCACACTAAATTCTCTCTACAGCATCTGTATAAATAAGTTGAAGAGAGCTAAAATCAAATCCTAGTGTGAAAACTGTTGCAAGTGCAACTGGAGCACTGTGTGTTGGTAGGGTTTTCAGTGAGCTTGCTGAGGTACCAATAACTGCACCAAAGCCAAGGCAATAGAAACTGAGGAACTTTCATCTGGAAATTCAAGGAATTTGGGAAAAAAATCTATAATCTGTCCTATGCTTAGTGCCTTGCCTGTAAGAACATTCTGTGGTTATTTCTCTACAGGCTTAGTCTGTGGTTGGGTTTGGGTTCTCATGCAAAGCAGAAGCTTGAAGATTGGCCAGAGTTAAATGCAGGAAGGAAAATAAATTACATGTTTGTTAGACTGGAGTGTGACTACATTGCTCTCTAGTGGCTGCCCATCAGAAAGGACAAGCTGTACAAAAACTTGCTGAGACTTCTTTCTAGCTCAGCTAACAGCCCTGGCAGGGCTGAAGTGCTCTCTAAGCACTGTGCTTAGAGAGAATAAATGTATTAGTTTATTTTGTATAGTCCATAATGAGTCCAGAGGCTTCCTAAAATTTGCTAAATCAAAAATAACCTGGGCATGACAGTGAATTTGTTCTGCAGGTTCCCACGCCACATAGTAGCACCATTAGCACCTTTGTGACTGGTGAGCAGTCATACCTGAGGAAGCAGGAAAAGAATACTGAGGCACAAACGAGAGACTGGGTTTTCCTTTGTCTGAGAAGTGACTTTGTGCAGTGTATTGTCAGACTGACAGCTGTGGATAACCACTTTGGGCGGCTCAGTAGTACATTAGATTTGTGTGATACAATCCTAAGCTCTTTTCTTTTTAAAAGGACTAATATCTGATCCAGCCTACATGTTGGGTAATGCAAAAAAAAATTATTAGTTAGAGAAAAGATGTAATGGTCACTGTAATTTTCAATGGTAACCGAAGGTTCCTATTATCCATGGCAGAGACTTAAAATGGAAAAGAGCAAGGGAGTTCTTACTTGTGTTTGCAGAAGGGCTGTGTATGTAAATACTTGCCTAGTCCTTTCAGGATTTTCTTCTCCAGCTTTTGCTCCTTGTTGCCGCTGGGCTCCTTTGCTCTGCAAGCATCCCCAGGAGCCAGCTTCTCTTTCTCGCTCTCCTCATTTCCATCTTCATACTCTGCATCTTCCAAGATGCCTTGCTCTCCCTTCTTAGGCTTTTCAGTTCCTGTAGAAGTGTTTTCCTTCTCCATCAGGCTCGTGGCAGACCCGTAGGTTTTAATGATGTCCTCCAGCTGCCGGCTCAACTCCTCTGAGATGTCACACGTGGCTTCTTCGGGCCCGGCACTTGGGTGCTCTGTGGGGGCTGGAGCAGGGGACACCAAGCCAGGGGCAGGTTTGTCCCCACTCTGCCCCTGGGTATCCTGCTCAGGTGATGTCGGAGACTGGTCGTTCTCCATTCCTAGTGCAGTACCTGACAGCAAACAAATGGAGGGTTGACTTAAAAGCACACAGAATTAGTCATCGAACTGTTCCCAAAGCTTGGCCAGCATGTGAGTGATTTTGTGTGAAATTTGGAATGGCATCTCATCCATTAGCTCTGGCTTGATAAATATATCACACTTAAATAAATAACCAAGGTGATTTGCCTGCAAGGAGAAAAGCAAATTATATACTTTCCAAGAGAAAAACCTACCCAAATCTATCACCTGAAAATGGAAAACCTCCTATTCCCATTGCCAGCAATGACAGATGAAATGACACCTGAGTCACTTATACCATTTTCCTCCCTGCACACCATTTACCACGTTTACTTTTCTTGATCTGTTTACCTGCAACGCTGGCTACCGATATAGGCAGCTTCACTTCAGAGCTGCATTAGTTTCATTTCCTATTTTTCCCCTGTCAGCACATGTTAAGTCAATAATCATGAAAAATATTTTAAATGAAACTGGTGCACTGAAAATTGTACTGTGCCCTTGGAAAGCCCAGCATGGTGCTTGATGTACAAGAGATCTGGTTTGGTACTGTCACAATAACAGCAAAGAATAAGATAAACAGCTCTAAACCACCCTTCTCTTGTACTTGCTGCATGATATTGACATCTTGTTTGACAAAGTACAAAAATAAGAATAAATCACAGTGAAATAAAACCAACCAGACATAACATGGTTTGATAGTCCATGGTGTTTTCCAGGATGCATTTCAGCTAATTTATTCCCAGTTTGCAAAGGGAAGCTTTTGATTTCTCATGTCTCTGAGCAGCTGCAATGAGTCAGGCAAATACAGAGTCCCAAACATACCTGTGTTTCTTCAGAGCCTGCTCCAGTTTACCCAGAACCTGGCAATGAGGGTGTCAGCAAGAGCATCCTAGGCACCTGCTCCTAGCTTCTGCAAGGTGTGGGCCAGCAGAAGCTGCATGTAGCTAAAAAACTCGGTGTAGAGAAGGCTCCTTCCCTCTCAGAGTGCCAGCAGAGCTGCTGGCACCACTGTGTTGCCCTCAAGAAGTAGTGCAGAGGGGGTGCACAGGTGGGCCTTGCTCTGCAACTAGCCTCTACTTCTTCTTGACTGCAGACTATACTCTTTTCAACCATGAGCCCTTTCTCGGTCTTCTTCAGGCTGATTTTTGTTCCTCTCTTTAATGACATCATTTACAATGGTGCCAGTGGGGAAGGAAGAGAGGAAGAAGCTTGTTTGGTTCCTTTCTTATTTTTTAAAAGACAACTTGCTTTGAAAACATGGAGCTAACTGGGAAGCATTTTGTTCCCTGTTCATGCAGGCTGTAACATATATCTTCTACAGTGTCTAAATTTCTTCAGCTTTCAAAATTGTAAACTAGCATGGCCAAAGGTGGTATATGATAAGAGAGATGTCATTTATTGTAATAAATGACTTGATGTTTTTTATTAAACTCTCCCCAGTCAAAGTGATGTTTGCAAGTGCAGTGATGGCCATCACTAAAGCAATGTTTTTCAAGATTTGATTTTCTATATGACTAGGCTTGCAGATAAGATAGTCAAATGAGTTATCATCTCTCAAGCAAATAATTGAAAACTTTGACTGGGGCTCAGGATGTGCTCGAAAACTCATAGCCATAAATCCATGCCCCTGCAGTCCTCCCATAGGTACAACTTGCCAGAAGAAATGGCTTAGGCAGTTGTCTGGACCTTGTTTCACAGACCCTTCAGACAGTTGCATTCCATTCTGTCCTCCTTGTGGCATTGTCATGATATCACTGCAAAATGATTGTCAAATTATATCTGTCTGATTTGATGTCATATTGAGTTTAACTTACACTGAAACATAAGACCTTATGTATGCAATTTAGGTAAATAATTCCAGATAGCATGAATATTAGCCTACAGTTTATGATCTTTTTTTTAACTAGGGCTAATTGATTGCCAAATAATTCATGGTCACTGAGAGTATTGTAAATGAGCTAGAAGCTCCACAAAGTATGTGTTTATCTCTGACATGTTCAGTCTAGTGTTTACAATTGTAATCATTAATTTGAGCTAATTGGCAGTTGGAATCAATCAGCTAGAAAACCCAAGATCACCAACTCTTGTTTAGGCAGAACAAAACTCTCTGTTTTTTTAATATGTTCATCACAGAAGGAGAACAGGATTGCAAAATGTTCCATTTCCAAACATGAACTTCTCTTCTGACTATCTCCCTCTCTTTGTAAGAAGGCACAAACTGATGTTCTCATCACACCTCAACTTTCTCCCTTAGGTGCCTCCCAACTCCCAGCTTCATCTCTCACGGACCAGCACTGTCTGGCTAAAGTTTCCTCTTATATTAAACACAAAGTATGCCTGCAAATACAGTAGGCTTTAAATCAACAATCGACCTATGCATGGTGTAGCTCAGTAATAAGGGAAAAGCATGGGTGAATGAAAGAGAAACTGGATTGTTAGAATCAAGATGTTTACAAGCTGGCCTTGCAGGAAGTCATCCCTAACATACATTCCTAGCTAGAAGGAGATTAGTTATAATCAGTCTCTGAAACCATAGCAATGTGCATCCTCTGAGGTCCTGTCCACAAGCCCAGAACAGTAAGCAGGCAGGAACCCCATAAACATCCAGCAATGAACCTTTAACCCAAGGATGCCCACCTGCTGGGTCATACCAGAGATTGTATTTACTCACACAAATAAATATCCAAATGTTTTACTTTGTTCTTCTTCAGGCTAAACCAGAGGTCTGATAAATTCTTTCCAGCACAAACACAATGCCTGTGAAGACTTCTGTACCTTCTTTTGCACAACAACTTCCACAGCTTCATGGAGTTTATTTTGAGGGAGACAGGGCAGCTCTCATCCACTGATAGTTGCCTGCTTACAGCCTTTGATGCTGGGAGATTTTACTGCATTTGGCCCTGGTTCTCCTCATGCTCCAGCCTGTTTAAGCTTGATGCAGATAAGGAATTCTGCCTTATCAGGTCATAAAAGTCTTTCAGTGCCAATTTCACCAAGACCCAAAGTGTTTACATTATATACTATCTTAGACACAGTAATGCCTAAAAATTAGGTGACTGAGTCCAGAAGAGGAATTCTTTGGTTTCTCAGACTTGCCTAATTTTAGACTACCCACCTCGTGAGTTTTGCAACTCCTACTACCATTACTGTTGCCTCCAGGTACCTAAATTTCCAACACAGCCTTATCCTGTTTTATGGCAAAGGGGAGGACTGACCAGTTATCTGAGTGAGTCTGACGATTGCATCTTGTTTATTCTTTTCCTCCTGCGTTCCCAAATTCTGGACCTGTTCCACAGCTCTGAGATCAGCACCTTTCTTGGCCCTGGTGCTTTGGATGGAAACTTGACCCCAGACACTTGTGGTTGCTGCTTCTACAGATAGTCACTGTGGCCCTCCTCTTCTCCAATGGGAAATACCCTCAAGAGCCAGAGGGTGTTGCTGCCTCACCTCTGTGAGAAAGACCCTTCTGCATTCTCCTCCTTCCTCTTTTAAAAACTTGGGAAAACCCAGGAGAGCAATGGAGCTCTCAGAATAGCTAAGCACACAACACAGCTGCAGCTGCACTCAGAGGCAACAGCAAAAGGTGTGCTGCTCAGATCAGTCTTGTTACATGCTGAGTTTGTTTGTCTCTGATTATATCCCTTAATATTTCACATTTGCAGCACAACTTGCCTTCACTGCGCTTTGACAACAGCCGGTATTTCCAAAGTAAAAGGTCAATAGGCAAGAGTCAATGACTGATTTAGCAGAGCTGCAACAGCCATCCCTCTGCTGCTGGGGCAGCTGTTCCCATGCTGGGCTGCACCAGCCCACCTCGCACTGCTGGAGCCAACACTGCTGCCCAGGCACACTCCTGGCATGAATAAAGCAAAAATTAAATGTTTTCTTCTTAGCTTTTCTTGCAGGTTGTCTTAAAGACTGTCACAGAGTTTTGTTTATCTTTGTTAGACAGTGTGCTTCCCCTTCCTTTTCATGGAATTTGTTTCCCCCTTTCATTCTTGCAGCTTGAACTTCTAGAGGTTTTACAAACTGTTCTATATTTAGCTTTTGCCTCCTCATGTATCCAGCAGAAGGACACATGGCACCTGCTCTGCAGCCAGGAGCTATTTTAAGCATTTCTAAAATGGGTAATGGGATGGGTACTCAGCACTTTATGCTCAAAATTCACATATGCACACAATTCTCTAAAGCAAAGCTTTGCATACACTTGTATATTTGCAGTGAACATATGTTGATAAAATCAGAATTCTTACCTTGACATAACACTAGATTGAACTACAGTAACATGTCAAAGCAGAAAACATTAAACTCTGGAATGGCCCACACTACTGTAGCTCCAATTACTCTCTAGAAAAATACAAGTACCTTTTTATAGTCTAGACACCACCCTATGTATTACTTCAGAAAGTGATGATAAAGCCAGCTACATGCTACATTTGAATAGCTTTATGATTTATACACAATTTTCTAGTACAAAACCGAACAAAAGTTTGGAGGTTTCATGGCAGGTTTCCATACAGGCTCAGAAGCAGACTCAGAGACTTTCTGAAGCCCCCTGCCTCACCTCACGTTCAGCACCTGCGTCTCGATCACTTACTGTTGTAGCAAACCAGCCATGGCCCCTTGTCTCACTTCAAGGCAAGCTCTACCAAAATAATCTCAAAATTTTTTGATCACTCTTAAAAGAAGCATTTCTTACTTTCACCAACAACCCTAGATACTTGCCCATTTTCCTCAGGTGTCACATGGTGCCCAGGCTTTTAAGGCTATTCCTAGAAAATGTGTGCTGACAATCCAAAAGGGAAGTACTCACATTAAAGCCCTTGCACCATGCCACCAAGCAGTGACTGTAAGGAAGCTATTCATCTAACTTACCAGAGCAAAGAGAAGAGCTGAGCAGAGAAAAAAAAAGTCAAGCAGAAACCTCAGACAAGGGCACACCAGCAACAGGACACTGCCTCTGTAATCTTGCCACCGAG